CACTTCAACTTGCAAATACGAAGAGCTATGTCGGTGACCCTAGTTCTCTGGCGAATTACTTCGTTACGGATTTGATCCCTCAGAGAAACTCCAAGCATAGCCCTTTCCATAGCTCGTTGAGCGACTTTAAGTTGGTGGACCAGTCGTATCGTCAGTGTCCACGTTTCGGCACCGTATGTCATAACGGGTAGGACGCACTGGTTATAAACCTTGGTCTTAAGGCTTTGTGGTAGCGACGACGAGAAGACTTGACGAAGTTTCCCAAAAGCCGCCCAGCCTAGCTGTATTCGCCTCTTGGCCTCCCTCTCAAAGTTGTTTTTACCTAGTTGGAGCGTTTGCCCTAGATAAATATACTCCTGAACAACTTCGAGAGGAACTCCATTAATGGCAACCGGTTCCGGACGAATGCGATCATTGAACATGATCTTGGTTTTGTCCAAATTCATCCGAAGACCGATGCGTTGAGACGACTCAGCCAGGCCATTCAGCATCTGCTGTAAGTCCTGCAGCGATTCAGCTATGATGACTATGTCGTCAGCAAATCGTAAGTGAGAGATGTTCTCGCCGTTAACATTAATGCCGTAATTTTTCCAGTCCAGCATTCTAAACATATCCTCCAACGCAGTTGTAAACAACTTCGGGGATATAACATCCCCCTGTCTTACACCACGTTTCAGGTGGATATGCTTAGTCTGCTGGTTTTGTACTTGGACGGTCATTGTTGCAGCGTTATAGAGACATCTCAGCACTTCGATGTATCGCCAGTCGACTTGGCATCGCTGCAGAGACTCCAGAACAGACCAGGTCTCGATAGAGTCAAAGGCCTTCTCATAGTCAACAAAGGCTAGACACAGAGGTTGATTATACTCTTCGGTTTTCTGTATAATCTGCCTAACTGTGTGAATGTGATCTATGGTGCCATAACCACTTCGAAACCCGGCCTGTTCCGGGGGTTGAAACTCGTCAAGCCTTCGCGCAAGTCGATTCGTGATGACTCTTGAAAACAGCTTGTATATATGGCTTAGCAATGAGATGGGCCGATAGTTCTTGAGTAGGGTTTTGTCTCCCTTTTTGAAGAACAAAATAACAGTGGCCCTACTCCATGCCTGTGGAGTTCTCCCAGTGAAGAGAACCGAGTTGAAGAGTTCCTGAAGTACTGCAAGTACAGGAGTACCTCCAGCCTTCAGGAGCTCAGTGGTTATTCCATCTTCACCTGGGGCTTTTCCATTTTTGAGCTGTTTAAGAGCCATCACGATCTCGTCACGACTAATATCGGGCATCTCCTCAGTGTAATGGCGAGTCAGAGGAGCCCTGGGATCTCCTGCAAGTGATTCAGGCCGACATACGTGTGAGGCGTACAGTTCGCCGAAGAAGTCCTCGACTTCCGAGAGAATCTCTGGCTTAGAAGCGGTAACAGTACCTGTCGATGTGGTTACCTTTGACAAGTGGCGTCTTTCTACTTGTTGGACGAACACTTTTGATCCCCGATTCTGCTCAATAGCTTTTTCAATGAAAAGTGTATTCGAGGATCGGAGATCGCGTCGTACCAACTTCGAAATTTTCTTATTTAGTGCCCGGTGCTCTGGCGAAGTAAGCGATAACGACTTATCGCGTCGGTCTTGAATAAGCTGCAGAGTCTCTCTCGAAAGTCCAGTCCTTTTGCATGTACGCCTCTTCTCGCAATATTTCGTGCCTTCATCCTTGAGGACATCTATTATAGTGTCGAGTTTTTGGTCAATAGCGTCTGTGGTTTCCAAAACAGCAAACCGATTTTCCAGTTGTAATTGGAATGCTTCAGAACCAACGATGGTTTGGAGCATATTCGGCCGGAGTGTCGACTTCATCAGACGTAGTCTTTCCAGCTTCAAATTGATATTCAGAGAGCCTCGTACTAATCTGTGATCGCTTCCGGTTTTAAACCTACTGATCACAGAGACATCTCTGAATATGCGCTTCTTGTCCGTCATAATGAAGTCTATCTCATTTTTTGTCATAGAATCGGGGCTCTGCCAAGTCCACTTTCGTTGAGACTGTTTCTTGAAGAAAGTATTCATCAAGTACAACCCCTCTTTCTCCAGAAAGTTGACGAGCATTTGCCCCCTATGATTTCTGCTACCAAAACCATGTGGTCCTACAGCTAACGATTCGCTGGTTCGAATTCCCACTTTAGCATTAAAATCCCCCATGACAACATTGTAGAATGCCTTTGAGGTGTTATGTAGGGCCTTAGATATGTCTTCATACATACTCTCTACTTCCTCGTCCGAGTGTGCCGATGTCGGTGCGTAAACTTGCACAACTTTAAGGCTATACCTCTCAGTTAGCTTTAATACAAGATACGCAACCCTATTCGACACACTGGAGATTTCTACAACATTGCCTACTAGGGTCTTATGGACCAAGAACCCGACACCGCCTTGGGAAGGTTGTTCTCCCTCTCTAAAATACATAAGATGGCCGGATTCCAGAGTCATGGTGTCCTCCCCCTCTCTTCGGACTTCGCAAAGACCTAGGATATGCCATCTTATGTATTTCAGTTCTTCTTCCAGTTGCGCAAGGTGTTCGTTCAGTCGCAGTGTGCGTCCATTATACGTAGCCAGGGTCAGTGGGTGTTGGCGGCCTACCGTAGCCCGGGGATTCTTAGCACCCCTTGCTCTGCCGTTACCATGACCGCCGCCTTGGCCAGGAATAGCAGAGCGGCCGGGAACTAGGGGCCATGGTTGTGTTGGACTTGTCATGGGAGGAATATGCCCATAATCGCCACGCTGGGCATGCGGGTTGGCGATCGCAGTACACAGTTTCTCGAACCGATGACGCTGCTGCCCATCATCAGTCTATGGAATTTGAAAACTGTGTGTGGATAGAATGGTTATACCGCCATTTATCGGTCGTCAGAGCCTCGTCCGTTGTTTAGCAGGATGTACCGCGAGCAGGTGAGGTTGACTTAGAGCACTGGGTTGGTGTTTGGGCTCCCTTACATCCCTTCCTTAAATTTTATATTGGATTTATATTTGTATAGGAAGCGAGCGGAATTTCACTAATATGCATTTATTATGGTTATTTTTGACAGTCAGTAAGACAAATGATATAAAAGACAAACAATATTAGTCTATTCTCAATTTGATCACAGGCTTTAAATAATAAACAAAAGAGTATATAGATATATGTATTTCATACATATACTATATACTCTTTTTGTGTGTGTGTAATGTATTTTTATAGATTTAATATATTTTTAGTATATAATTAAATTTATATGATTATAATAAGTTTTGCTTTGTATAAACTGCTAAGTTTAATAACCTCATGCCCAATATATGATATTAGGAGACTAATACATTTTTACCGACGGCTTAATTTCTCTTTACGAACAAATTCTATTACTGTTCATGTATGTCGGGGGTTTTTAACCCCTGATACTACATATAATTATTTAGGAATTTCTATTGGGGTAACTGAGTAACTACTAATTTAAATATAGGTGACAGGCGGATTTATTATCTCAAGACTTAGTATAGCTTTGCCCATCAATTTGACCGTTATTGTCTTACTCTTGATAAATTTATTGTGAAAAATATAGTCCTATAATTGTTATATTTATTAAAAAATACCAAAACTTTTTCATTGTATGTACATATATCTTTTATTTAAGTATTATAAGTAAGTTCATTGATCCCTTATACTACATATCGAAGCATATCGTGACTTACGCAGCAACAGTTGTTTTAGAAACCAATTTACGCAAAACGAAATATTTGATATTTTAGTGGTCCTTTTATTATACGAACATTAGTGACATTACGGACATGGACATTTAATAGAGAGAAGAGAACAGAATTAATTTGGTAACAGAGTACAATATTATTTTAGAATGACATTCGAGTACTTACTTAATATTAATGTTTCTGCATTTGCATGTTCAAAAATGTTATGATATAGATAGATATATTATGTACCTACATCACTACAGATATTATAGAAGTAACTAAATATTGATATTCTACCTAAAATATATCTACTTAAAGTCGCATAGTATTTATATCATAATCGTTACGTTACGTTAGTCACAATTTTCTTAATATTAAAATTAATAACAACGTTATGTACTTTACTGTACTTCTCTCTGTAAACTATGTAACAATTATTTCAATATGATAATAATGGATGTACTATTAATGACAATTTAGTACCTACTCAATTTCATGTATCTTTATTAATTAAATTTATATTACATATGATGTTGTGCTGTATAAAGGTATAGCAATATATACAACTGTGTTTTCATAAAATATAATGGGTATCATCTATTGGTTAATGTTACAAGAATTATCTTTACAAAAATGACAAATTTAACAATAGCATAGCACATTAGTTGCAGCACGTTTCTCAACCTTACACCATAATTTCCTTAATGGCAAGCAAATCGCCCACCACTTAGCTGCGAATAGCCATTAGCGGATATAAATACGATCGTATTTTATCCCCTATTAGAGATCAATATAAGTCGAACTACTTCTGTATACAATAGTACCATGATTGTTTTCGTATAAGAAATCTCACCGCTGACGGTATAAATATTTACTGAGCAAATAAAATAGATGCTGATAACACTGCGCTCGTGCTACAAATACTTGATAACATTTTACTCTCGAAATTGTTGTGGCACTGTGTTTTACGAGCGTTAAAATATACATTAATTTTATGTAGAGAATGCCATTTATATCAATTTTGGCTTCTGTAAAAAGAGATATAAATGTCACATCGAAATATTTTTTTATTTTCAATGGTGACCATAGCGGTTAAATGAAGTAGTACAACTTGAGAATTTCCCATGGGTTATGTGACTAATGGAATGATAATGAACTGGTTCCGAAAGTGTCAGAAGTGCGTAGGAATAAAGTAGGCGAGTGAGCGCAGTTGAGGGTGCGCAGTAACATTTTGTGGCCCTATAAAGGGATGGGCATTGGTACTCGCCCCATTCACAAGTTCCCAGACGTCAACTTCGCAGCTCCGGTCAAGTAATTGTACCAAACTTTAGTTTCGATTTTGTGAAGTGTATTTGAACTTTTTACGTTATATCTAATCATTATGAGAGCTTTTCTCTACGTAGTTCTGGTGGTTATATCTTGCGACGGCATCTGTAGCTTGCTATTGCCGGTAAGTATAGAAACTATAAACTTTGATCATATTACTTTGTACATTACAATATTTCCACGTCAAAAGTTTGTACTAGAAGCAGAGATTGTAATATTTCGATATGTGGTTTTTAAATTGGAAATTTTATTATGATATAATTTATAATAATAAAGTTTTTTATTTACGTACATAGCCAAGTTAACCAACATTAAACAAGTTTATATTATGTGTACATAATGTTCAGTACGGTTGAACGACAATGTAATATGAAAGTATAAAGATATTTACACTATTCATTTAGCTCTGTTTGGTTATTCCAAATGACTGTACTTTAGATAAGATATAATTTTAGACTATATAATATTATATTTAGATGAAGCGAAACGATCACAGCTCATAGTAAATAGATAAATGTAAACTTTATACAATAAATAATTTCCATGTAAAGTTAACACTTAAAATTTTGAGTCGTTACGTCGAGTCATTTATAAAATTTATATGTGCAGAATAACTACAAGCATATTGTTGATTTATAAAAAAAACTATGCAATGTAAAATTAAATAATTATTAGTACCTACACTATATATTAACTTGGATTTTTTCCACAAAAGAACTATGTAAATAGACATAAAAAATCGACTGAAATTTAACAATAAAAAGATATCGCAGTCAAATTGACAACGTTCGTTTTTTAAATTCAAACAGGTATGCTTAATATAAGTTTATAATTGAATTTCCTTGCAAAGCTTAAAGACCCTGCACTTTACTCTTTGTTCTTCTAGTCGCCTCATTCTTTTTACTCTGGCTGAACTGGTGACATATTGTTTCTGGACCCGATAGACACAGAATTAACAATTTTTCATAACAATTCATAAACATAAGATCATACCTCCTCAGTACCGTCCTATTTGACCAACTTCAAAATAATCTATTGTTTTTATTCTTTTCTGTCTTTATTTATATTTTCGCCAATTTTTTGGTTGGGTTGGATTACTGGATCTTTAATTGATATTAATTGTTTATTTTCAATGACAGAACTGCTGAATAAGAATACAATAAAAAAAACTAGTTAAAATTACAATTTATATATTTCTTAAATATTCTAGCCTAACTCAAAATCCAATATATGTATGTAATAATTTGATAGGAGTATAACATAATTATGAATATTTATCCAATAGTAATCTAAAATAATTGTAGTATAAATAAATAAAAAAAAAACACTTATCGGCCATTCTCTCTTCTAACTCTACATGAAACAAATTTAACAAGATTAATAAAAATCAAAGTTTAAGGGCTATAGAACCAACAAGAAAATGTAATAGGCAATTTCAGAGCAATTTTGATGCTTTGATGTCAATTTATAGCGAATTTATTAGTTTCAATTGTTGAATAAACTAGTTTGAGTACTTATTGCTTTAAAACTACAAGTAATAACATAGACTATTTTATTAGTGGGAATGGCAATTTAACACACTTACTAACTTAACTTATTAAGAGAAACAATTGTTGCAAAATAGGACTACATTAATTCATAATTTTAAAATATTATATCATGTGTATATTAAACATTAATATAATAATGTTCCCTTCAAATTACATTTTAGAGTTATTGTGTACCAAAAAGATCGTGCTGGTTGTCTAAAAATATTATGTTAATGTTGGTTTATTGTATTATTGTTCGTAAATATATATAAATATATAGATAGTAGTAGTATAAGTTATTTATTGACCATCGTCTTTATATAAAGACATAAAAGTTAAACTAAAATGTCACTTGTATACTACAACGGAGAAATGTAATCCATTTCGCATAACATTTCTTATATTACCTATGTATTTTTTGTACCCAATTCCTACATATTTTTTGTCAGAAGACTATATTTCAACAGTATTTTAATTTTCTATTATTTAAAGTATTTCCAATTCCAATTTAATTTAAGAAATTTTCGTTGTTGTCTATTTCTTATGGGAAATATAATTGATAATAATATAATTTTATTTTTAATAACCCTGCAGATTTTGTAAAAAAGGGAACCTACCAAACATCGTTTTATAATTAAAATAATCTCTTAAAAACCTTCAAAATTGTGAAAGATATCGGGTAACATACAGAAAGAATTTCAGTTCAGGATATTCTCAATTCTCCTTTTGAGCAGGTTAAATATATCTACGCTTTATAAATAGGTAATTGTAACAAAAATTTGCTTTTAGTAAACTGTGTAAACAAGATGTCAATAAGTATTATGAATTTCTTGCACGTTTTTATAGTGTCTAATACAATTCTTAGTAGTTGTTCACGTCCTAATTTAATGGACGTTGGGTCAAAAAACGGCGGAATTAATCGTTCTTTTTGCAGTGTTAATTTTCTATGTTGTGTTAATATATAATATAGTAAGCTGCATGCATATTAGTGTCTATACCAATATATTTATAAAGTAATGATTATACAATGTACCAGAGAATAAGAGAATTAATTCACCAATTAGGAATATTTTTTTTTGATCTATTTTTATGTTTCGCTGAGACATACGCACGGTATTGGGTACTAAATAGGTGTATAATATCTTAGTCCTCAGAAATGATGATAGAGATATCTGTAAAAATATACCTTTTTTCCATGTTAGTCTTATTTGTCATTCCAGTCTTATAAGCGATATGACAATAATTTTTTTATGGTACTAAAATATTGTTATTGATAGTTTCGTGCAAGCAGATATATTACGTATACTGTGAAGAACCATTACGGAAGACTGGAATTTATAGCAAAATTTAGCAAACCACTAAGCAATTAAGCTGTTTATTGTTACAAATTTTTCCCAAAATCATATTCGAAAATTTACTTCTACAGTGACTAGAAGGCATGTTTATAGTAAAAATCTTGACTGTGCCAATATATTTTATTGTTTAGATGTAATTTCTTTTTCTAAATAACTATACATCTCAAAATATGAGTACAAAAATAGAGTTATCTGTGGTAATCTTATAATGGAGTTGAAAAGTGGTCACACGTATGTGAAGATAAAATAATAATATCTTCCCTATGATCTCAGCTTCTTAACTTTCATGTGGAGTTGTTACTTATGGAATTGTACGCAGTCACTGGGTAGGATAGGTACTTTTACTTCGGTAAAAGCTTTTATTTATTATTTTATGAGGAGAATGGCAGGGCGACAAATCCTTGAAAATATTTCGGTACTATATTATCTACTTTAAGAATATGCCTAATTAATCTTATAATTTAACTTTAACGTATATGTGACAGCTTTAAATATGGTATAAACAGATTTATAGTATGCTTGTCTAATTCTAACGCCATCAACCTTTTCATTGGGTCTGGTAAGCATATATCTATTAACAATGGAAGACAAATCGAAGTTTTGTATGATCAAAGCTTTTCCGAAGATAGCTTTTCCGATCTATATTCCTGATCAATTCACTCATAAGTATACCATAGTATGGAAGAGAACTCTGGCTTCTGAAACACAGGTATTTTCTTTACCTACTTCAGGGACATCATAAACTATTTCTAAAAGTACGTGATCTAAATAAAATATATTATTATAGAAGCTACTATACTAATATATATACTAATACTAGCCTAACCTCGGAATCATTTCGATGCGATAATTGCAATGACGCTAATAGAATTTCCTATTACGGTTTCATGTCTAATGATTGTGGATCATTCTTTAAAATTAATAGCTTATCCATTTCCGATCATCTTTGTACGTACGTACGTAGTATACCCATTTCCACTTTTGACGTCTGACTTCTGTTTCCTGTTTGATCCAGTAAGTTCTTTTCTGGGCGCCGAGTGATAGGCATTATTGTGCCGCTCAAATCTCGTAAGGATATTCCATTCTGTTCTATTTCGGGAAATAAAATTGCGTTTTAAGTAATTCTTAACTTAATCATCAATGTATGAACATGGCTTTTTTATTGAACTTCAAGTAGTCGAAACCTGAATAATAAAGCTTCAAATAGTCTACAGGGATATCCGTTTCTATATAAATACCTACTATAAATTTAGAAGAGTTACTATTACTAATTTGAGTTTATATTACTAATTTCTTATTTGTAAATAATTACATTTAAGTAAATATCATCATGACGCGTGTCATAGACAATTGTGCGTCATATTCTGGTGCTGACAGTCATAATTAATTTAATGTGTTTATATAAAATTTATTAGGACGTTAAGCACACGTGACATGTCTCTAGTATTGTAGTGATGATTTATCGCATACATTAAATTTTGTCTATAACATGTTACTCATTGCTATAATACCTCATAAACCTAAAAGTGTTTCTTATAGACATGTCGACGACATATCGATAGAAATAGATATATATTTATATTCGTAATGTTACCGTTTTCATTATTTACGTCTCTCACTGTCCTGCCAGTCATTAACTCTCAAGAACATTTTTGAGATAGGTATCTGTAATAATAACTGTGTAATAAATATCCATAAAAAATAGAACGTTGAATTACTTAATATTATAATGTTCTTGACTTACATGTTGATTTACTTTTATACTTCAAGCTGTCGAGCTCTTCAAACTTGACATTCAATAACAAATTGAAAATAAATTAAAGTCTATATTTAGATCATAGGTATTACTATACATATAACATCATATTTATATCTTTAGTACTTTACAAGTAATATTTTTTTGTAGAAACTTAACTAAACGTATACAATATATACATTGCATTGTATACGAAATATAGTACGTGATATTTTGTATAGTCTAGAACATTTTATTGCATAATATAAGATCTGAAAATATTATAGTTAATTGTTAATAATTGTTATCTATTATTTATACCCCTTTGTGATAAGTGGCCTACCCCAAAAAAAGTATTATTTTTTTATAATTCGGCTTTAAAAATACATACAACTCTAAATTTTCACCTTCCATCATCAACTCCAATTTTTAATAGCGATATTGGTAGTTTGTAGTATAAAAACAACCTATAATTAACTATTGTATAATCAATATAACCATGGCC